AAAAAAGAAGAAGAAGAAGAAATAGTCACACCGTTCTCATATAAGGATTTTAGAATTCATGTTTTTAAGATTCAGTGGGACAAAGAATCATTTTTAGAAACAATAAGATAATATTAGGAGACTAAAATTAATAAGTTTTCTTGCATACTTTGCATAAATATTTAAATGACATTTTTTATTAACTGTGCACGACCTTATGAATTTTAAGAATTGATGAGTATTGACATGGTAAATTTTTTGACAAATGATACCAGCTAGAAACTACTATTGTTCGCTAAACATTATTTAAAGAATCATTTATTTATGTATTTATTTTCAATGAGACTGTCTGCATAATTTTTATTTTTTTATATATTTTGCTTCTATATTAGAACATCAATTCATTCACCAAATAACCTACATATAGAACAATGTCCGAGAAAATACATTAACCTAATTATCCTAAAATTCGATACATTAATAAGTTGTCATACGCATGCAGACTTAATTATCATAAAATTGAATACTTAAGGATAGTCTAACTTACTACTATGTTGTTTTAAGTGGCTGCTAATTAGTAATTAACCATATAATAACACCACCTCAGTTATTCGACGCCGTAAATGACCAACCATAATATTTATATTCATCACTTTACAAAAAAAAAAAAAGTTTGTAATTATTTAAATGATAATGATATGTAAGAAGAAATAAAGCAAACCTTAAGCATAATTAAGAAAATATTTAATCTTTGATTATGAAGTTTAAAGAATAATAATACTACTTCATTTGCGCGTGACCCACAACTATTTACTTCTAATTATCTCGAGAAATTACTTCATCATTAGTTCTTTGAAAAAGCACAAAAAGTAGTTATAATCCCAAGCTACCTCAAACACGCTTAATTAGAAATATTCTGTTGATAACAGTAATTTGGAATCTAATAATTGTTTTTTTTTTCATGAGGGGCGAAAAAGGTCAATAATCATGGAATAAAAATGTAGAAAAAAATGTCAAACTAAAGTCAAAATTGGGGTTTAAACAGGGTTTTTGACTGCCTACCTTATCACCAGCCTTATTGTCTCTCAACTCAGCTTAAATGTACACATTTATTTATTTATTTATTTATTTATTTATTTTTAGTTAATAATGTTAGAATATGACTTGTGAGTTGTCCCACATCGTTCATACATGGAAAATAGACCCACCTTATAAGTCTAATGGGCTACTCCTCCTTCCAATAATTGGTTTTGGGATGGAACCCCATTTGGGCTTCATATGGATTTTTCCCGCGACCGTGCGATGATGTACCCGGTTATGGGAGTCTGCTTTCCACGTACCCGTTTATGGGAGTCTACTTTTAGTAGGCTTGTGGCACCCAGTTGAGCTTGGGCGTCTCGCATCGTTTATGGGAGTCTGCTTCCCCACGTACCCGTTTATGGGAGTCTACTTCTAGTAGACTTGCGGCACCCAGTTGGGCTTGGGCTTCCGAAGATGACTCACAAGTGAGGGGGCGTGTTAGAATATCACTTATGAGTTGTCCCACATCATTCATACATGAAAAATAGACCCACCTTATAAGTCTAATGGGCTACTCCTCCTTCCACTAATTGATTTTGGGATGGAACCACATTTGGACTTCATATGGGTTTTTCCCGTTCATGGTGCACTTCATGTTAGTGGGACCGCACCGTTTTCCCCTGTTCTTACAAATAATAATTCTTGTTTTATGACAATATATATATATAAGCATTTTGAATCTGTGTTCCATAAAGTACTATTTTTCTCAGCTGATAGGGAAAATTTTGATAATTTAATGAAATTCATGATTCAGTGAAAGATACGAAGTATACGTGGCAAAAATTTGGGGGAACATTTATAAAGATGAAAATAAAATTAAACTTTCTGTTTTGATTAAAAGGTTTTCGGTTAGCTAGCAATCGATTTAGTTTATGTTTTATAATGTTTCTAGTAAAATTAACTGATATATAAGTTAGATGAAGCAATAAACATGTGAAATACGTTCAAGTTTTTTTATTTAATATAAAATAAATATACTATCATACCAAACGAGATATATTTAGCATAAATTCTATAGACTAATTAATTATTAGGAGATGCTACAGTCTTGTTATGGAATTATTCCGTGGGGTTGGTAACCGTTAAATAATCATGATGCAGTTCCGTTACGAATCTCGACGGAATGGTTGCGTAACATGACTTAGCATTTCCTTTAATTATGTTATAATTGTTTTTTTTTTTTCTTTTAATGAGAATTTATTTGCGCGTGCACGTATAGGGTAAAAAAATAAAAATGAAAACAAAACTTATTTTTCAATATTTATTCCCAAACCCCCACCTCTTTATATATGTACTACTCGGCCACAATTCTTTTTTGTCCTCGAGAAAAATAATAATACCAAAACAAAACGCCAAAAAAAAGGAAAAAAAACAAAAACAAATCGAAAAATGGGTTACGGCAAAACCACCAACGCCGCTGCCGCCAGCACCGCCACCGCCGCCGCCGTGGCAAAGGTGGAGATTTGCCCCTCCTCCCCGTCACCCATCTCGTCCCCTCCATCCCCGCCGACTCCGCCACCGGCGATCCTCACTCCGTGCGCCGCGTGCAAGATTCTCCGGCGGCGGTGCGCCGATAAATGCGTTCTGGCACCGTATTTCCCGCCAACTGAGCCGCTCAAGTTCACCATCGCCCATCGGGTTTTTGGGGCGAGCAATATTATTAAATTGTTGCAGGTAAATTATATTTCATTTTTTTTTTTTTTCAAAATTAGAATTGTTAGAATGCCTTACGAAAATCATAAATTTATGTCATGTTTTTATATTATGCTTCTTTTTTTAGTTTTGAGTAGGCAAACTAACTAGGGTTTATTATAATGTATTCTTGAAGAGATTTCAATTATGGGTTTTTTTTCGCTTTTTGCTTAACTCAAACATTTATATGGAAAATGCTTAGTTACAGAATCATCCCGTCGAGTGTTTTAACCGTTAGATCATCTATCTTATACTACCTACATGTGTATCCAACGATAAAACTTCCGAAGGAATGGTTCCATAAACAGGACCGTAACATTTCTCACATTGGATATATCATATATGTATAAATTTATCCAACAATTAAAAAGTACGATAATTACGAATAAAATACAGTGCATACTTTATATAATATTTAGAGAGAATTTTTGTGGAATAAATATTAATTTGTATTTAGTTAATTAATTCGTAGGAGTTTGCAGCTACTCTACAATAGAATTAGCTAGAGTTATTTTTTTTTTTTTTCACAAGCAATAGAACATTTTTTTTCGTCAGTCAAAAGTTGAAATCATTTTTTGTACTTCATTTTCTTACTTTGAATTGACAAAACATTCTGTAATTAATAATGCACAAAGATTTCCTTAAAAACCATATATATATATATATATATATATATAAAGATTATCATTAGTCTTTGATTATTTACACACTTATATATATGCCACCATTTGAAGAAACTCGTGAGTAGGTTAATAATTAAATCAACTTATAAACTAATATTAACTTTCATTTTATTTATACAGGAGTTGCCTGAGTCTCAACGAGCCGATGCTGTGAACAGTATGGTGTATGAGGCGAACGCGAGGCTGCGGGACCCGATCTACGGCTGCGCTGGCACCATCTGTCACCTCCAGAAACAAATATGCGATCTCCAAGCTGAGCTGGCTAAAGCACAGGCTGAGATCCTCAACATGCAGTGCCAAAACGCCAACTTGTGTGACCTAATCTGCAAGGTACAAATGGGCACAGCACAAAGTCAAGCAGCAGTTGACGAAAATAGCAATAGTAATTTGGGTTTGGGGGTACAATCAGCTACTGCATTGGCGTACAGTACTCAGCAGAACAACTCAGCTAATTTTATTGAGGATGGTAACATCAACATGGGAGTTTCTTGGGAGCCACTTTGGACATAATTAGTAATAATAATTAAGAAAAAAATAGTGAACTGACCAAGGATAAAAAAAATATCAAAGTTTTTCTATTTTTTTCTTTTTTTCTGGGTTTTATTGTCGTATCATGGGAAAATGCTACGGTCCGTTACGGTGCCATCCCGTCGGGTGTTTTCACCATTGAATCATCTATCTCATCTAACTATACGTGAATCAACGGTTAAAACACCCGACGAGATGGTACCGTAATGGGACCGTAACATTTCTCCTTATCATGTAACTGGCCTTGTCATGGTCATGTAACTGATCGTTTACTAATCATAACAGCAATAATATATTAAACTTACTCTCAAATTATTATTATTATTGAAATAATCAGGCTTCATTTTCATGTTTTCTTGTCCACTGTAGTGTATAAATTCTGGAAAAAAATAAAAATAGTAATAAGAGCATCAAACTAAACTATTGTTTGAGGATGAAATGTGAAAACATTTTTTGTGTCAGGCTGATAATTAAAAATTATTTCTCTAAAAATTATTTCTCCCCCTCTATATACAACAAATTGTTTAACCCAATTTATCTCTATCTTCAATCTAAATATTTATTTTATTTTAATTTTATTAAAAAATTATAATTGTATTCTAAAATATATCAAATGTGGTCTCTATTTATAGGGAATGAAAAAATTACGAATTTTAGTATTTTTCAATTTTTAAAACCAAAAAAAAAATATATATTTGTCCAATAAAAATGAGATAAGTGACCCATTTTTCCCCAAGATACCGGTCGTGACACGAGGTCACAATGTGACCTTAGTCGCTCAACGTTGTAAAATTTTCCTTTTTTTTTTGTTTTATTCCCGATGGGTAACGGATAAAAATAGTCATAGTAAAAGTGAATTGTACGTAGTGTACAAAATACCAATAGGTTGAATTGAATCAATAAACCTTTGGTACGATATAATTATTCCAAAAAGCCAATAATTTCTCGGTGAAAAAAAAAAAGTATCAAATAGAAAAAATTGACTGTTAGCATTATTATTTTTCTAAAAAGATTTGAAAACTGAAATGTTGAACTTTGTAGCAGCTGAGAAGTTCTGTTGTGAAGTTATATAAGCTTAGAGAAAATGGTCGATATATAATATAAGTCTCTTATTTTATTTTTAATGAAAAAATTATTTGATATATTCTAACACACTACACTTAATTTTAGTACGTAGGCAGGCGAATTTGTTAATTTGATTCTTTATTTAAATACAAAAGTCTTTCTTTGACTAAATATTCTAAAACATATATTGGTGTTATTTACGCGTTATTTACATTTACCAAATATCTCATTGTTGAGCTATATATAATTAATTAACTAATTAGTGTTACTGTTATGAGCCCTCAATCATAATTATTAAACAAAAATATGCAATATTACTAATTAAATGTTATCAAAACGATTCTTATATATAGAGATGTCAAAACGGGCCGCCAGCCCGCCATCTTGGCGGGCCTATAAAAGGCCAGCCCGGCCCAACCCCGCCCGCC